TAAATTGAAAGTCGGAGACAATGTCGAAGCAAGAGTCTTAGATATAAATAAGATTAATCAAGTAAAATTTACGCTGAAGCAGTCGCTAATAAAGAGCAAATTGCCAGTTTTACATGATTTTGGCGAAGCTAAATGCGGATTAAAATATCATGGTACGATCAGTATAATAAATAAGAATGGTATGTTAGTAAGATTTTACGGAACGATAAAAGGATGGGTACCACGGATTACATTAAATAGCGATACGTATGATACGAATTGGAATTTTTCCATTGGACAGACAGTTACAGTGTGTATTGAATCAATAGAAAAAGATAAATGTAGAATGACATTAAGAATCATTTCCGAAGAAGAGAAACAATCCGTTAGCTTATCAATTGGAGATATAATTGAAGGAACAGTGTCGGAATCATCTATTAAAGGAATATACTTGAAGATACAAAAAGAAGATAATGAAAACGTTGTGACAGGTTTCTTACCATCGGGTCATATGGCTCCATGCATTGAACTCGGCAGTTTACTGGCATCAAGATGTAGTCTTGGAGATGTAATCTCAGCTTTCGTATTTGCTACAAAACCGACTATAATATTATCACGCACTTTTACGTCGCAAAAAAAATATATGAACTTTGATTCATTAAAAGTAGGCGATTGTATTCCTTGCACAATTAGAGATATATCGCAAGATTGTGTAAGAGTTATCTTGCCGATTGAAAATTACTGTAAATTCGGATTTGTACCGTACAAGAACGTAAGCAATTTCGAAATGTTGCATACAAATCAGATATTATTCGTTAAAATCATAGCTATCAATACGCGAGAGAAACAACTGACTCTAACAATGTCATTGAAAGATATATGGGATAGCCCATTTGAATACGAAGTCAAGATGATGGCAGCGGTAGATGTCTTGAGTTTGTATTTTAATAAATTATCAGAGCTAGCAAAAAACACTTTTTATGAAAACAAGCCGATCTCTTCGGCAATTTTAGGTCAAAAAATTACTGGTACTGTCAAGAAGATAACTGAACACGGTCTAGTGCTTCAGTTAAACAATCAATTGATGGGTACAGTACGCAAGGACCATTATTGCGGTAATCCTCAAGTAGGGGATAAAGTGTTTGGTACGATTCTGTGGAAAGATTACATCAATGAATTCGTCGACGTGTCTTTGCTACCAAGAATAATAAACGGCATTAGTTCGAAACAAAAATCACTACCAGAATTACCCACTGGAATCGCATTAAAAGCAGAGATTCTAATGATTACTAAATGGTTGATACTTGTTCTCGTGAAACGTAATGGCGCAGGATATTTGGCGGCATTACCTGTCCGTCGACATGTAAATGACATTTTTCCCGATCTAACGCCTTATAAAATTCACGCTAAGATTCGCTTGTATGTTATAATGAGGAGAGCCGAATCTGATATTATGCCGATTTGTATGCTAAAGTCTGCATTCGAAATTCCAAAGAATGTGATCATAACAGAACTATCTTCTACCAAGAACAAACAATCGAAGAGAAAAAAGATGTCTGAGCGTCACGATGTAGATCTTGCAAATCCACCTAAGAAATCACTTAAGGAAACTCCGGAGGAAGCTTTGAAGAAAGTATCGAAGCAAGTCCCGAATAAAGAAAATAAGAAGAAAATGGAAGTCGAAGAGGAGAAAAGTAAAATAAAAGATATAGAAAATTCTCTCTCTGAGTCGGAAGATTCTGTCGATGAAAGTGAAATGAAAGCGAGTAAGTTAGTGAAACGATTACGTGTTCCAGAATTTGGATTTTCTTGGGACGACAAAACAAAATTGGCCGCTTTTCCTAATGTTGAAACTTCTAGCGATGACGAGAAAGAGTTTGAAGAAGAGCTTAAACAAAAGAAGAAGAAAAAGAAACTGAGTGCGACTGAACGACGGGAACAGGAACGACAGAAAGAACGCGAGATTCGTCAGCGAGAGGAAGCTTTGGTGAGCAATCAGGCACCCAATTCGATCGATCAGTTTGACAGATTAATTTTGTCGAGCCCCGATAGCTCGTTAGTATGGCTGCAATATATGGCATATCATCTGCAAGCAACAGAAATCGACAAGGCGAGAGCGGTCGCAAGACGAGCAATCAAAACGATCAATTTTAGAGAAGAAAACGAACGTTTGAATGTATGGAACGCATGGCTGAATCTAGAATCCAGATACGGCACCGCCGAATCTTTAAATGATGTATTCCAGGAAGCTGTGAGGACAAATGATGCATATAAAGTATATATGCACATGTTGACTATACACGCGGATGCCGGTAGAAAAACTGAGCTTGAGAAATTGATAGGTACTGTGATCAGTAAGTTCAAACAAAATCCCCAAACATGGATCGACTGCGGCGCCGCATTATTGAAAATCGGTATGAAAGAAAAATCGCGCCAAATCATGCAACGAGCATTGCAATCCTTGCCTGCAGCTCAACGTAAGTACATATACACATATATCGCTTTAGCTTTTAATATATGCGTGTACGCGCATGACACACACACACACACACACACACACACACACACACAGAGGATGCCAAAAAATAAATTTGAAGACAAATTTTTTTGTAATATTGTAAGACGGAAAGTCTAATAAAATGAAAATGTCGATAATTTTTAATTGGAAACAATTTAAAACAAATTAAAATTTATGAATGACGGGGCTAGAATTTCACGCACTTAGGAATGGCAAAATGTGAAAGTGCTGAATTTTATTATTATTAGAGACATAAAGTTAGAGAAAAAAATCTTCATTCTGTTTTTCGTAATTTTTAAATTGTTTCCACAATATTTTCATATTAGACTTTTCATCTTCATATGTTATAAAGAATCTAAAATATGTATCACTAGTTTTGGAACATCCTGTATATACACATATCCTGTATATATATTTTAGTATTATTTTGTATGATTAATAAAATTATGGGGCGTATTTGTGTATTACAGATGTAAACCTGTTAGTAAGATTTGCAAATTTAGAGAATAAACTGGGAGATAAAGAACGAGCGCAAACGTTATTCGAAAACATCCTGAGTTCTTATCCAAAACGCATCGATGTGTGGTCGTGTTATGTGGATTGCTTGATAAAATCTAAGGACATCGATTTAGCCAGGTATACAAATTCTATCATTTTATTACAAATATATATCGTGTAATATAATAAATATTTATCATCATGAATATATTTATTTCATGCTTAAGTTTTATATTATTTAATAAGTTCGCTCATTTATAGAAAAGTGTTAGAACAAGCGTGCGTCCAAACGCTTTCACCAAGGAAAATGAAAATTCTCTTCATGAAATTCATCAATTTTGAGGAAAAATATGGTACATCCGAGGCTGTAACTCGCGTACGACAGATGGCTGCGGATTATGTGGAAAAACATATATAAGTAACGTTCTTATTTTATAAATAAATGTTTTATGTGTATATAGCAAGTAGAATATTTCTTTACATTATTATATTCAACCAGAATTTCTCTTCATTTTTCTTCTCTTCTGCTTTCTCTTATTTTTTATTGTTTTAGTTTTTTTCTCTTTATTTTGTTCTCCCCAAATTTTAGAACATATAAAACACAGAACTGTATCTATACTGGAATGGACATCGAGGAAAATTCGTGATCACAATTGATCATTTTAATTGGGGCAATATTTGAACGAATCAAAAGCGTTCACGCGCGCGCTGTGATCGAAGTATCGATCGATGTACTATCGATGTATGGAAATCTATGGACATGAATGATATGTAACAAAAATGTCACTTCAATTTTGTTAGTATATTCAATAAAATAACATTAATAACATTAATAATACTTTTCATATCTTACATTGTTAATACATGTGGAATTGATACATTTAATACAAAAATTCTTATCTATGAAATGAAGTGCCCTTTTTACTTCTCTGCCTACTCAGACACAGCACTTCATGTTGAGGCTTTGTTCATTTTACAGTCACACGATTTTATAATCTTTCAGAATAATCTTTCAAATATGCCCCACATACATACACAAACACACACATACACACACACACACACACACGATAATCTTACTGGCATATGCGTTTTACTAAAGAACATTAAATGTAAGTGCGCATGAGTAGAAGGTTTCTGATTTGCTCTTATATTGACCAAATTAAAATGGCGCTGATCAATTAGTGCCACAATTTTCTATGCTTCACAGTGGAAATGTTCATTCCAGTGTGTATATATATATATATATATATATA